TTCTATAACCTTGTTTTGTACATGGAGCATTTTTTTAATAAGGGTATTTTTTGTCATTAGGAGGGGTGGGATGTCATTCACATGGGGGTGATGTCTCACCCCAATGTAGATGATGTTACACTCATCCTAATTACCAAAAATGCCCTTACTAATAAAAGCTCCATATACAAAACAAAGGTCTATATGTGTCCAAAAATTGTTCGATACACTGATAAATTACTCCACAGTGTGAGTACCTACACACACACACATATATATTCTCAAATTTTTACAAAATAAACAGCTTTTTATTTCATGTACTGTTATTTTCATTTCTTTTCCACCTTTCACCAAAATTAGATGGAAGGAATCAAATTCTTTATCCTTTGTAGTGCTTTGTTTCTATCAATAATTGAATTCAAAAAGAGTATTAATTTGTACCACCAATATTCTACTAAGACATAACATGCTAATTTTGATCACATTTTATCAGAAATTGCAATGTTCAAGTAGAAAACACATATAAAAGAGATAAATCACAAAAAATGCCTTAAAAATCAACACAATCATAAATCGTCATTTAAGTTTGCAACCACAACCAAAAGCAAAAAAAAAATACAGAAAAAGAAGACAAAATACCTTAACAATATGGAGCTCAGCTGGTGCAAAAGCCCTTTTTGTACATTAGATGAAGAAGGGGGCAAATAAGTAGTCAAATCCACCTTCGAAATCTTCAATCCCTCCATTAAAACCTTTAAAAAACACAGCTTCTTCAATGTTAAGCATCTCAAATATCTTATGGAGTGATGAATAAATCATAGGTGGAATAAATCATTGGTGGGATCCCTAATCATGGTACGAGCTTCTAGGGTTTTTCTCAAAGATTTGGGTTCTCAAGTCATGAAATTTATAGAGAGAGAAGTTTGGTTTTAAAAGGTCGAAGTTCATTGCTTGTAGCGAGTATAAAGTGATTATAACTAAAGTTATGTTTGATAACTTTGTTTGTAGCTTCCCTAAGGGCCTATTTGATAACTGAAAGCAAGTTCAAGAACTGTAAATTGGAAGTTCCTCCTTGCTGGGAAGATAGAAGTTATTGTAAGAAGTTCCTCGTTTCTGTGTTTGATAACCTCCTGGGAAGTTAAAGAAGTTCTTGGTTTTTGCGTTTAATAACCTCCTGGAATGTTAAGTAAGTTCTAAGTACTTGTGTTTGATAACATGCTGAAAGACTAGGAAGTTCTGGGTATATGTATTGGATTAGCTATAGAAATAATAGGCAAGATGTAAAATGTTAAAATTGAGACCTAGATATAATTATTTTTTTATTAATTTTTAGAATTTTATCTTTTTGAGATAAAATATCAATTGAAAGTAAAGTGCGTTGGATTGAGAGAGAGAGAGAGAAAGAAAGTTTTATTGATAAGTGAGAGAAGCGTCCTAGAGAGATATATATTTGTAGAACAATTGAAGTAGATGTTGCATGATAAACTCCATTGCACCTCAAAAAAGCACAACCTCAATTCAATATTGTGTACTAAATCACTATAGTAATCAATATATTTTCTTGACTATTGTGGGTATACAATTTGTTGAGTCTTTTTACAATTATAAAGTGGAATAGGTGTTTCAATCTCATAAGTAGGTAGTCGATGACTTTCTTCTTAAACCGAATATAAACTCTCGTGGTATTTCTCACACACACATGCACACTCATATCAATCGCCAGTCATGGCAATTATGGATTTGCTTTCATGTATTCTATTGAACTGTGCTATAATAGCTTCAGCACAACTTACAAACACACATGCACAATTAATGCATCCATATGCAAGCAATAAGAAACCAGGCCATTCAACAATAACCTGTAAAAGCTCGAACACTACTTAGACATACATTCACCACTGATGCATCCATATCCCAACCTAAAAAATATATTTCATTCAACAATAAAACAACATTGTTGTTTGTTCCACTACTCTAAGTAGGCATTCAGTGAAGCTTTAATAATATTCGTTTGACTAGAAACACTACTCTTTATAGCATGAAGTTCTAGCATTACCATCACAATGAAGCCTAGAGATAACCGAAACTATATATTAGTAGGTCTACTTCACCCTAAAATAAATATTGCAAATGTGAATGAAGCACTGATAATATGGCAGCATTGCACGGAAGAATTTGAACTACTATTGCAAAATTGGAATAGAACATAGATAATATTGCAGTACTGCACTAAAGAATTATGACAACATATATTGGTTGACATAAACCAAAAGCATTCACTTCTATAGATTATGGAACTCTAGAGTCGTTACCATCTCCAATGGTCTATGCCTGATTTAGTAGCCTCACTTGGTAAGGCATATTTAAGAATTCTTCCATCTTTCTGTTTTTCCCCTTTAATGAATCAGATTATTCCATAACTTTTATAGTGATTTTATTTGTTTTGGGAGGTTAACAATATTCAGGCTTTTCAAAGTCATGCTATTCTTCTCTTAACAAGAGTAGTTTCTTAAAGAAGAAAGCATGTTTACTTGATTTCTATATAGTTTTACTTGGATCAGTGTCTCATCATATGAAATAGGTTTTTCTCTGTGTCCGTGAAAGCTTGAAAGAAGCAACCAGCACACTACACACTACACACTCTCTATTATTTCACACAAAGAAGCAACTACTGCTTTTTGATCCCTCGAAGATTAAAGACCAATATTCTACTTTCCTAAGACCATTATTTCTCCCTGCCCCAAAACTGCATTTCTAAGGTCGTACCAATATTGATCAAAGTAGAGCAGCTTTATTTTAATAGAACTTTGAAGGAGCATAAAACTAGGCCATATACTCACAAAATATCCTAGATGTGGAGAAAAACCACCAGAAACCCTACAGAGAGAGAGAGAGAGAGCTGAAGCAATTCTCAAGAGAACAACAACATAAAAACAAATTATAAGAAAAGGCATGTTTCAAGTAATAATTCTACACAAAATATCCCTCTGACATGAAACACAAACAACAAAAGACAAAGAGAAGCAGAAAGAGAAAATATGTTGTGCACCACAACTGACAAGTCTATACACAAACTTACACTCGTTGTAACAACAAGAATCTGTTAAAATGAAACGTATCATCAAAATTAAATTAGAAGGAAATGCTCCTTCAAGCTTAGTCTCCTCTATTGCAAATATCAAACCCAGTCCTTTCTCAAACCCCATTCAATCATAACAAGATCCTTTAATTTTTATATTAAAAATCCACCAATGCTTTTCGGTCTCTAAAATAAACCCGAAGATCAAAACAAAAATAAATTCCAAACCAATTATTCAGAAAATTCCTAAATGGATTACCCTCATAAACCCGTAAGTTCATCACATGCGAACCTTGACTAAGCCACATACAACCATAGTCATCACAAAGTCAAATAAAACCCAATAGTTTGCCCAAAGATAACAATGAGCACAAGGTTCAGTCTAGAAGCCCCGAGGCACCATCAATCATGAGAAAACCCTAACATACGTAAAACCAAAAGACACCATGGATCGCCAAAAGCATATCAGAATGAATAGAGAGAGAACAAACCTCTGATATATATAGAGAGAGGAGGGGGGTCAATTAAAATCGTGAAGAAAGCATTCGAGTAAGGATAAAATGGCTGAAGAAACAATCAAAACTTCACACGGGACTAGCCTGCTCTATGGTAGATAGGGAATATATACAGTTATAAATGTGACAAGCAAATACCTCGAGAAAGATGAAGAACACAGAATCAGAGCTCAATAGCAAGGATCAGAGCTCAAAAGGAGATCCAGGGGAAAGACAGAGAAAGATGAAGAAAAATTTCATCTTGAAAACCTTGAAATATCAAAACAGGAAAACCCAATTCTGAAATATCAATCAATTTCATCCTTGAGATCTTATCAATTTCATCCTTTCAATTTTCAAATAAATAGTCAAAACAAAAAAATTCATGAAACATCACAAAAGAAGAGTATCCAAAAAAAAATCCTAGCACTCTGGAAATAATACACCGAATTAATAGATAAGCAACAATCAAAGAGAATGATTCATAAAATATCAGTACATATGTTTTGCCCTTATTCGGTGTTATAGGGTTGTTGTTTTATGAAAACCCCCAAATTTAGGGCAGAGCTACAGGACTTAGGAAGAGAGAGAGGGCATCATGCTTGGGGCCATAGGGTGGGATAGAAAGAGAGAGAGAGAGAGTGTGTACCTGAAATTTTGAAAGAGAGAATCTTGATCTTGAAGGTGGAGGGTGGAGCACTAGAGTCCAGAGCAGAAAGAGAGAGCCAAGGTAAAACGTAAAACCCTCATTTCAGCGAAGGGTCTTCACGCAGGAACGTCCCCTTTGAAGTTTTCAATTTAAGTTCCGTATAAATCAACGGAACTTTTTTTAAGCGTAAATGGGGGAAGTTCTACTGTAATGGGTAAGTTACCACTTTAACCTACTCACTTTTATCAAACACGGAACATCTACAGTAACAGGTAACTTCCAAGTTCTGGGAAGCAACGTCCTGCTATCAAACACACCCTAAGAGAATCCTAGCTGCTGACTTCCTGGATTATGGGAGGGAAGTGAAAATTGGTAGCCTGAAAGATGGGAGCCTTGTTTGATGAACTGTGGTGCTGGTTTCACCTGTTTGGTATTGAGAAAGTTGGAAACTGCCTATTTTAACTGTACATTATGCATTTCATAGATTTGATGTGAAAATGCATATTTTGAATAAGATTTTATTTCTTGTCCCATCTAATGCATTTCTTATTAATATACGATTGAGATTGAAATTAGTTCTTATAACTACATAACCAGAAACGATAAAAATATATCCATATCAAAAGGTTGCCACAAGAAATGTCATATGAAATACATAAACAAAGAAATTGCTATCACACTAGTACACCACCTAGAAAGGCATCTGTATCCATACATAATAAATTAAAGCAATTGTTCACATGGGATTCCAATAAATATGAAACAAATGCAGCACCAATAAAATAACATGTGTGAACTAGATATCAAGTAGATATGGTAGTACCAGGCACAACACAAGGCTGCTACATATGCAACATAATATCTAACATAGATATCATATAGATTAGATAGATCCATACTAAGAGCCTATCCTGCATTCAAAATACATAACTGGTCCATTTTAGTTATACACATTATTTTATCCTTCCTAATTCAAATTAAAAGGAAAGTAAAATTCAAGGCTCAACGCAATTCAACCAAACCAAAACGCTATTCAAAAAATTCACTTCACCACAAGGACCAGAAACTTCAGTTTCCATGGTAACAAATTTGATCAAGATTTGGTGCCATGAGGACCAAACAGAACAGTTTGCACATTCAGTCAAGATCTAGGCAAACAAAAGCCATGATGCCTATAAATTACCCATCAAACAAGAAATATTTCAATTTAACAAGGCTCAACAATCAAATCAAATAGAAAAACCCATCTCAGAAAGATTTAGACTATAACATCATCTACCAAACATGAACCAACAAAAAACTCACAAGAAGTCAAAAAAATCATGAAACATCAAAAATTTCAGAAAAACAAGAAGGAAGAAGAGGCCATACCACCAAAGAGACTTGGTTTCTCTCCCTCCTAAGATCCCAAAAAGGAAGACGAGGCCATACCACCAAATCGGCACATTTCAGAAAGGCTAACTTTATGCTTTAACAAAATCAAGGAGAACTATGAGATCACAAAAATCCAAAAATAGAAGTTTCGATAGCAAGCATTATCTTGATAGGAGCCTTTTAATTTAAACTCTATTGATTCACAACATGCTATTTTGCCATTCTACAAAAAATAGCTGTTTCTAACTCTTTTGTAAAACCAATGTGGATTCAACTATAAACACAAACGAATTGACCACTCCCAATTGTCAGGAAAACCACTTCAACTAGTTTCGTACATACTACGAGATATTGCAATGAGATGGAATACATGAGAAGTCCATGACAAATAGAGGATACACATACAAACAACAAGATAGAACTCGCCATGAGCTGACTTACCATATACAACCCATGCATAATATCCAACCTAATGATATTCAAGTGTTGTAACCAGAAAACAAACTCAAGACAACATTGTTATTCAAGATAGTATGACTCACGTGAAGATTGAGCCAAGTTGAACCAGGACTTGGGTATGCTGAGTACTATTCAAGCCTTAATATTCATTAATTACGAAAAGATAAAAATAACAAAAAAGATAACATGGATAAATAAACCAACAAAAAAAGAACCAGAAAGACCAGGGATGCAAGTCCACAAAAATTTAATCATGGTGTAGAGGTAAGGTGCCCTTCAAAATTTAATCATGGTATATATTTTGATGTAAAATGTTCTTAGGATTATCTCAAAATCTATTTTTATATCTAATTATAAAATTTTAAATTTAAAAAATGGTTAAAATCAAGTAGATCTATAAACCTATGAAAATCTTGAAAATAGACGGTGTAGATAATATATTGTAAAATGCAATATTTCTGAGACTTAAAATCTTTTTATTTTTCATAGTCATACATATCGATGTCAAGATGACCAATCAAAGGGTTTTTCAACATTAAAACTACCTTTTTCGATAGATTTTTGACGGGCGTCCGTAGTTCTACATTATAAGGTAGCATCCTTATATAAACTTTTTCCTATCACAAAACATGCATGCAAAAACTTATCAAAGTTCATATATAAACACAGAATTAGCCTAGCAGCTTCAATTCTAACACAATTAATCACCAAATAAAATTGAACTTTTTAATCCTTATAATAAATTCCCAGACAAGTTCTCCAAATCAAGTATCTTGTTCACTCTGCTAATACAAAGAAAAGCAAAAATCAAAGATACCAGCAAGATTCATTTGAGCCTTATCCCAACTATTTGGGGTTGGCTACACAAATCCTGTTCCGCCACTAGGTTCAGAATTCATGAAAGGACAAGGCAAAGTTTTACACTAGTTGCCTACCTAACACAACCCTCCTCTTTTACCAAGGCTTGGGACCAGCACGACCAGCATGGGGCCAATCAAGGCGGAGTTAGGTACAAGCATACTTAGGCAAAGAAACTAGAAGAGAGCATAATGAGAAGACACAAGTAATGGTATAAAAGGAATACCGGGCATACAATAATTAAACCATCTATTGTAATGACAAATCCAATTTCTTTTGAAGAAACGAATGTCATAAAAATAACCATTAAACTCGTAGGTAGGTACACATCTCAATTTCAACTTCTAAATCCCATGCACAATTTACTTTACCAGATTTTGAGCTATATCGGTTCTTGAAGAATTTTCTTCAAAAAATTTGATAAAACCGCATAATGGCTTAAAGAATATAGTATGTAATTTCACAAATTTAGGAACAGAGAAAACACTACAAGTCACAACAAAAGAAAAAACGAGCTATAGCTATTTTTTTTATCAGAAAAGATTAGCGTCATCCAACGAAAAAAACAATCCATGAACATAAAATTACAAAGGGCATAAAAATAAATAACTCATCACAAGAAATAGAGAAACTCATGAAAGCAAGAATGGACAGTATATAAAGAGAAAAAGAGATAAGGAAAGAAAAAAATCCATATTGACCCAGCACAAATGCATAACAAAAATCTAAAGTATCCATCCACAAACTCCCTGCAGCAAATACTCCGAATTAAGTGCTATCAAGTGAAAATAAATCTCAAAATCAAGTTGCAGTCCGCACTATGGATTCTTTTTAAATGCCCGAAGTTTGAGAATTCTACTAAAAAATGCTCAATTAAACCCTCCAAAATGAAGATAAAAACCTCCCATTCTTGCATTTCAATAAAAGTATAACAGATATTTGTATAAATTGGGCGACATTAAGTGGGAACAACAATGGATTTCAAACACAAACAAAAAAAATCAATGGAAGAAGGCCAATTCAGTACCCAGTCCAAGTTTAAAGCAATTTGATGCATATGTTGAAACTCATCGATACTTATATACGAAGCAAGAAAAAACGAAATAAATATAATCAGCAAGAAAAGAACAATAAACTCAATACTAACCAGACAAAGGGAAAAGTACGGTAGGGAGGACGAACGGACACGTAACGAGGGGATAAGG